GCCGCCGAGACGAAGCACCCAGGTGGGAGACCAACAACGAAGCCACCTGTGCACCATACAACGAATGATAAACCCGAGTCAAAAACATCAGACGCGAAGACTCGAGGAGAAGATGGAACCAGCCTCGTACAGGGCCGGACCGATCTGCTGAAAGAGGAGGAGCCGCGGGAAGACCCTCGAGTACGGACACCGAGCAAGCAGCGTCTGAAACCAAGGCTGGGCCGGCCACCAAGGGGCCAGAAGGACAACACGACCCTGGTAAGTCTCCAAGCGAATCAGGACCTGGAGCAACAGCGGAACCGGGGGAAAGAAGTACAGGTAACCCCACCTCGCCCAGTCCAGCCTGAAGGCGTCGACCCCGACGGCTTCGCAGTCGGGAAAGGGCGCCACATAAACTGGGAGACGCCTCGACCACGCCGACGCGAAGAGATCCACTTCTGGAGTCCCGAACATCCGGCACAGATAACGGAAGGAGTCGGCATCGATCGTCCACTCTGAGGACAGGGGACGGAACTGAGACAGGCCGTCCGCCAGGACGTTGGACACCCCCCGGACATTAACCGCCAGGAGAGCCAAACCCCGAGAACTCAGCAGACGAGTCACCCGAAGCGACCAGCCCCAAAGAGCCAAGGACCACATAGAACCCCCTCGGTTCAAACAATGAACCACCGGGGAGCAGTCCGAATGGAGCCAGATCGTCGATCCGCGAGCGACTCGAATCCTCCGGAGCGACATCCACACTGCCGTGAACTCCCGCACCGTGCTGTGAGCCCGACGGAAAGACGGAACCCACCACCCCTGGCCGGCCTGGTGAGCACTGGTCACAAAACCTCAGCCAAGAGACGACGCGTCAGTGTGTACACATCGAACGAGGACACGGGAAGGCACCAAGGCACCGAACCCCGAAAAAACCCGAAGAGGAAGCCACCGACGAAGCAACCGATGCAAAGCCCCCGGAGGTCGAACCCAACGATCGCGAGAGAGGCGGAAGGGCCGGCCCCGAAGGAACCAGAACAGCCGACAAAGCCACATCCGACCTGGCGGGTAGACCATCATGGCAAAGTTCAGGCTCCCGCACAAACTCTCGAGCAACCGCCTTGTGACCCGGGAACCCCTCAGAAACGGGCGAAGGGGGGACGGCAGGTGCAAGAGAGCCACCGGAGGAAGAGACAAGGAAGCAGCACGAGCGTCCCAAACCAGACCCAGCCAAGACCGAACCTGAGAGGGAACCAGATGGGACGTCCTCCAGTTCACCAAGAACCTGAACCTGATGAGCTGGGAAAGAACCAAATCCCTGGCGAGCAGACACGCGGACTGGCTGGGAGCCCAAACCAGCCAGTCGTCGAGATAGGCCAGCACCCGAACACCTAGCAGATGCAGGCGGGCCACCACGACCCGAGTGAGGCATGTGAAAACGCGAGGTGCCAGATTCAACCCGAAGGGAAGACAACGAAAGCAGTAACCTTGACGCCCCACAACAAAACCGAGTCAGTCCCTGAACTCCGGATGAACCGTGACATGCCAATACGCGTCCTTGAGATCCAGGGACACCATCCAAGCTCCCCTCTCCAAGAGAAGACGGACTTGGGACAGCGTAGTCATCCGAAAGGAGGGGCACAACACCCATGGGTTCAGATGGGACAAGTCCAGAATGAACCGGATGTCTGCGCAGTCCCGTTTCGGAACCAGAAACAGGCGGGAAACCCACCTGAGGGACGACATCGTTTCGACTACGCCCAAGCGAACCCACTCCGAGATGACCTGAAAGAGCGCAGGAGAAGAGGCCTGCCCTGCAAGCCCTGAACCCCCCAAGGGAGGAAGAGCCACCCAACGCCACCACAGGCAGCGCGAAACGACCCGAAAAGCCCATGAATCGTGGGACCAGGCGTGGGCAAACTGGGCAAGCCGCCCCCCCCATCGCCCCGTCAATGGGGTGAACCGCGAAAGGGCCGACGCGCCTTGCGAGAACCAAGGCGGCGAACAGGACGGAGCCCACTCCGTCCAGCAACAGCCACGTGAAGAACCTGCACGTGAAGCTGCATGACACCAACATCCCGCAGAAGGGCAGGGGCGAACAATCAAGCATTCAGATGCTTGAAAGCGCCCCCCCAGGAAAACCTGCAACGCCAAGGAAACCTCTCGCCACTCAAGCGCGTGGGACCGACAGAACGTGTGCCAAGCCTCCAACGAAAAGAGAGGACAGTCTGCCAACCAGGACAACTCCTGAACCTCATAACAAAACCAGCACGAACCTGGGGATCCATACACGAAGGAACGAGGATCCATCAGGAAGGCATAATCCGGGTCGTGCAAGAGGTAAGCCGCCAAGGCCTCCCACACCTCCGAAGCCGAAACACGGGAAGCGGGAAACCTCTGGAAAGATGGAACCGAAGAACCCTTGGGATCACGAAACCGAACCCGGGGAGGGGTGGACACTAAATCCAATTTGTACATGGAGGGAGCGAAAGAGAACCCCTCTCCTTGTAACACCAAGCCCCGCTCGGAGGGCAAAAAAAAACCAGGCGGGGTCCAACGGGGCCCAAGGCCCCCAAGCCAACCCCTCCCCAACCCCAGGAACCTCACCCAGAGGGCCCGGGGCCGAGCCGGCCTCCTGAGCCCCCACCCCCACCCCCAAAGAAAAGGTGGGAGCAGCTGACAAAGCAGGAACAAAGGGGGCCCACTGGCCAGACCCAGAAGCTTCGGCAGAAGGACCAGGCTCGAATGCCTCCGCCACTGCCCCAGAAGGGGACACCCCCGAGACCACCCGAGTCTCACAACCAACTAAACCCAGCCCCGGCTACGAAACCCTCAGACGTTTAGGAGCCGGTAGCAAGGGGGGGGGGCGAACGAGCAACAGAAGGGGAAGGACTTGGAGGGGCGAACGGAACCAGAGCCGAACCGACCCCCACCCCCAAGTCTGGGTCCCTATAACCAAAACAGGGCAGTCTCGGGGCATCCGGGGCAGCGACCAACCTAGCGCGTTGCAGCAACCTAAAGCGAGCATGCAACGCCTCAGCTGCCCTCACCCACATATTAGGCGCAGTAGCCTGGGTGAACTGGAGAACGTACAGACAACACACGTCGCACGACTCGGGGTCAAAACAATCACCAATCCAACAGGCAGCATGGCGGAGGCAAAACCAGTGAGTGTTCCCCTGAGACAAGGGACAGAGCAACCGTCAAACTCGCAGGATGCGAGGGGGGGACTCAGGAGTCACATCCATCAGACCACGTAGCCCCCGTGGGGTTTTCCAGGGCCCTTAGCCTAGATAACACGCTAAGGGAAGCCCAGGCAGGGTACTGCGAACCGGCACCCAAAACTACCAACAAACTGCTATAGCTGAACCCCTGGGACGTGTACACTCACGGGGGCCAAGCGGGGAGTACCACCCATTAGACAATCTGGAGACAAACCCCAAGAACAGCAATGGGGACCAAACAGGCCGACCCCCCCCCCCCCCACCAGGCAAAAAACAAAAACAAAAGAAAAACCCCACAAGAGGACAACGTACCCAGGCGGAACAGAGCCGGCCGCTGTTAATGGTGAAAACTAGCTGTGCAGTACCCCGCACCCCTGCCAGTGACAAAAACTACCCCCTACCCAGAGACAAACAAGGGCAAGAAAAACCCCCAGCTGACCCCAAGGGCGGCCAAGTACCGAGCAGTACACGGCACAGCGGAGGTAGACCCAAGGCGCCCCAGGGAAGGTAGCCCTAAGCCCCAAGGGCAGTACTTACAGGGCACCTAGGGAAGATAACCCTAGGCGCATGCAGCCCGAGCACCGTGGAATAATACTCCTGGCCCACACACCACCAGAAGGGACAGCTCACACCACCAGGAACAGAACTGCAACTGCAAACAGGAGCCAGAGGCACGACTGCACCAGATTCCATCAGCCTGAGAACTAATGGTTGGGTCGCCGACGGTGGGGTCTAGGGGCTCCCCCCTTCCCTCTCCCGGGGAGGGGGGGGTTGTGCAGACGGCGGCGCGGCGACATGATGACGTCATGAGGGCTAATTTTCGGTTGAGGAGTTCTGTCCACCTGTTCGGTCTTCGGTCGCAATTGTTTACCAGAATAGGGGTTTGTTTTGGGGCGCCTACCTTTCTGGGTGCCTGTCCCGGTCGATGGCAGACATAGAATGCTCTTAATCATAAGGGGGGTCTCTATAGGCCATTGCTCCTCGTGCCTCTTTAGAGGGGGCCAGGTTCTGGCTCGTGGTCCCCGGTAGGCAAGAACTCCATGCATTGAATGATGCCAGAAAGTTATACATATCCATTCAGCCTGGATAGCTCCGGGGAGCCGACGGGGCTCCCCCCAGAAAGATCTTATGTACAAAAACTTTAATCATTTTTAAGGTTAGGAAAGGCTGTTACAGGCAATCATAATATAATTTTAAATCAAATGTGTTAGTTTTTAATCCAATGCATTAAACGAGTTACCCGGGAGCGCGCAAACAGGATAAAATGTTTTCACTATTTTCACTCTGGTCACCTCAATTTTTGTCCTAGGTCTTTCATTTTGGTCTCAATGGGTTCGTAATAAAATTCTCTAGAGGAACATTAGCATATAAAAAAAAACACCTGGTCACGCTCCAACCGCCGACGAGTTGAAGACGGGCCACGCGTTAGCCGTGAGTGAGCGCTCAGGGGCCTTCCTACTACACTCCCAATTCCCACCCTTTTCAAGCCTTTCTTTCGCAATTTTCTTCCTGGAAGGGCCTTGTTCATGATTACTATCCATCGTGGAGTAAGCGTAGATAGTTTCTAAAGCCGCAGTAAGAAATATAGCCACGGAAAATAGCCGAAATGTTCACACGTTTGAGATGCGAGGGGAGACGACATTGGTCACAACAGTGGAGCAAAGACAATGGGCCCACGGCGTGTGCCAAGCCGCCTGAGGGCCACGAGGCTCAACAAAGGAAATGGGAAGACATCGGCGCACATTTTAAAACCAGTCCCCAAAAAATCGGATACAAACCTGATTTTTGGCGAATTTTTAAAGTGGATGACGCAATGCTGCGTCATCCCCGGCATTACCGCCAGTAAACGGATGACGCAATGCTGCGTCATCCCCGAGCGAAAGTGTTAATTTTAAAAGTAGTATATAATAATTAATACTGTATTATGACTGACACTTCCGTTGACAGAAGCAATCTTCCATAAAAGTAGCAGATGACACCAAAAAAACACAGAATTCTAAATCAAATTAGTTTCAAAAACTTTACTGACATAAATATTAAGACATAATATTGTTTTTAAATCAAGCTATCTATTTCAGTGTGACTTAACAGGCATTATATATATAAACATATCTACTCCGTACTCACTTCTGGTCAAGTCGGACATGTTTAGAAGAGATTGTTCCATGGGAATGTGTCCCTTTCCCTGGAAGTGGTATCTGGCCAGAATCTCCCAGGAGAAGCCTCTGATTGTTGGCATCACTGCAGTAAAGAAGGAACTCACTTAATAATGCAGTTTTAAGGCAGAGGAATGGTAAACAGTTGTGGGATCATGTTTTACAATGCAACTCAAAACATCTTGAGCAGTCCAAAAATAAACTACCAGCAGACTCGGCATACAAGCAAGACAATTACCTCAACATTTCTCCCATTCAGCACCTGGTGGTAGACCCAGCCTCAATCCTTCAGCCCACAGGCCACCTGGCAGACTCAGCTTCAGGTCTCCAACACTTCAGTCAACTGGGCTTTAGAGAAGGGTCTGAAGTTTTGGACCTAGGATTAAGAGAGTGCCACCTGCTGAGATCCATGAGTCACTCGCAGGGACCACCAAACAGATGTTACCAAAACAAGTCTCAACAAACAAGAATACCCTGCTGAAAAGACTGATCTTTTTTGAAAAACGAAAGATGCATCTTGAAATACATAAATCTACAACCTGGGCCAAAATTATAAGTAGTTCTCTGATGGCAAAAAGTATGAAACCTATCCATACAAGCCACCCCAGTGCCAGCAGGAAAGCCTCCTTGTAGAAAGTAGGTAGACACCTGCAACCTAGATATTGACAACAAATAAACTACAGGATCCAGAGATCAAGAAGGCTCAATGGGAGCATGCGATGACCAATGATGGAAGGCTCGAAACCAACTCGACAAATGGTCAGGAGACAAATATTTATAAAATGCCAGCAAGAGAAAGCCTTCACTGGCTGTTTGCATGTGAATTCTTGGTCTCTGTGCCCACCTATTCTCAGGCTGTGGCTCCATTTCTTATCGAGCTGTGTGCCCGCCTTGTCTCGGGCTGTGTGCCCGCCTTGTCTCGGGCTGTGTGCCCGCCTTGTCTCGGGCTGTGTGCCCGCCTTTTCTCGAGCTGTGTGCCAACCTCTTCTTACATTATGAGCTCACCTCTTCTCACGCTATGAGCTCACCTCTTCTCACGCTATGAGCTCGCCTCTTCTCGGGATGTGTGCCCATCTCTTCTTGGGTTGTGTGCCCCTCTCTTCTTGGGCTGTATGCCCATACCTGGAGCATACCTGGAGAGGGTTTGGGAGTTCTTCTACTCCCTGAGCCTGGCCTCAGGCCAGGCTCGACTTGTGATAACTTTGTCCAACAGGCTGTTGCTTGGAGTTGCCCGCAGGCCCACATATCCACTACAGCCTTGTTGGTCCGGCACTTATTGCAAGGACTTATCTAAGTGCCTCTTGAATAAACCCACCTTTGTTTCAGCAATATTTCTAATGCTTGCTGGGAGGGTGATAAACAGCTGTGGACCTCTGATGTATAGTGTGTGCCCTCTGATTGTGCTTATTACACCTCTACTCTTCACTGGTTCCATTCTGCATTTCCTTCTGTATCTTTTATTGCAGTATGTTATTATTCTACTGTGCAAATTTGGGACCTGGCCTTAACCCTTGCACTGCTCACCTATTTTCGGCAAAAACGTCTTGGTGCAATTGTCAAGGACATATTTTTGTTATTTTTACAAATTTCAGGTAAATTTAATGTCAAAATGTTTCCAAAGTCAACTATTTACATTTCAAAACACAAATAGTGATGAAAACATTAAAAAACATTAAAATATAGCCAAATTAAAAAACAAAATGCACAACTCTCTGAGCGCCTAAAGGCGCTTTGCGCAGTGCAGTGGTTAAAGTATCTTCAATGTACTGTATACAGAGCACCACTTGATTTCCGAACCCCTTGGAGACGAGACCTGTTGGTTATCATGTAAGTTCATAAACGAGAAATCAAGGAAAAAATAAATTACAGTAGAAATGCAAAAAACCAGCGTTGAATGTAATGAAATGCCATTTTCTGGGTGAGACCCGGAGGCTCCCCGGAGCTATACCAGCTGATATGCTAATGTCAGACTTTGGCATCAGTCATGTGTATGGAGTTCTAGGGCCTACCGGGGACCACGGCCAGAACCTGGCCCCCTCAGAGAGGCAAGGGGAGCAATGGCCTATAGAAGCCCCCGTGTGGTTGGAAGCATTCTATGTCTGCCATCGACCGGGTCAAGCATCCAGAAAGGTAAGCATTCCAAAACAAACCCCTATTCTGGTTAAAATTGTTACCTAAAGCCGAACTAGTGGATAGAACTCTTCAACAAAAAACAAGGAAACTAGTATGACGTCATACGTCACCGCACCGCTGTCTGCGCAGCTCCCCCCTGCGAAGGGGGAGCCCCAGACCTCCCACGCCGGCTATCCACCCATCAGTTCTGAGGCTGGATGTCAAAAAACGCGAAAAAACGCCGACCGGAGGGAGGGAGGGTTGCCGGGGAGCCTCCGGGACTCACCCAGAAAATGGCGTTTCATTACATTCAACGCTGGTTTTCTGGGGGGAGCCCCGTCGGCTCCCCGGAGCTAACTACCCACAGAGGAAGGTCAAAGGGACTTACCCGGGAGGCGGACACCGCTCACCCATCCCCTCGAAGCCGAGACAACCGGCAGCAAGCGCCAACCCAAGGCGCCACAGCCCCGAAAAGTCCAGGGACAACACGAGAACAACGAGCAGCAAGGCCCCTGCACGACCACCAAAATCCCCATGCCCGAAAGACCGCAAGGCCACGTTGCCAAAGACGGCAGCGAGAGCAGCGAAGCCACGAACGCCACAGGTAAGAGGGAAGAACACAGGCAGCTTAGCCGCAAGAACACTGCGGACGACCCGGGAGACTATCACCCGCGAACAGGGAAGAACAGAAACCGGATCAACGCAAAACGCGCCCTGGACACAAACGCCGTGGCGCGCAAATAACGGCGAAGCGCCGCAACTGAACACAAAAAACGACACACCCCCGGCCTGACCAACCAAGCACCAACAAACACTTGACCCCTCCAGAACGCAGCAGTCCCATTCCGCGCCAGAAAAGATGGAGACTGCTGCCACCGAACAACCAAAACGCAGAAACCCCGAAGGAGCAAGAAAACTCAGCGACTCGACCCCCAGAGGCAAAGGCCAAAAGGAAAGAGCCGACGAAAAACACACCGGAACCGAAGGGGCACTACGAACCGAGGAGAAGAAAGAGCACGCTGACCAGAGACCAGGGTGGTGCAAGCGGCGCACGAACAGGCCAGAGGTGAAACGACGCACAAGACAGCTGCGAAACGGTGCAGAAGCAACACCAAGACCGAAAGCAAGCTGAAGCGGCTCCGCCCGCGCCGCATGAAAAGAGGCGACAGTATGTGGCAAGACGACGGCCTGAAACCCCCACCAGAAAACCAAGCCGAGCGTAAACCAAACTAACAAGAGTAACACCTAAGACGGGACAGGAAAAGGAAGGACCGCCAAAAGACCCCATACTGCCGCCGAGAGAAGCCCGCAGGTGGGACACCTACCACGAGGCCACCTGATCACCATAGAGATGATGATAGACTCGAGTCAAAAAAACCATACGCGAAGACTCGAGGAGAAGATCGAACCAGCTACGTGACGTACCGGCCCGATCTGCTGAAAGAGGCGGAGCCGCGGGAAAACCCTCGGGTTCGGACACCGAGCAACCAGCGCCTGAAACCAAGGCTGGGCCGGCCACCAAGGGGCCAGAAGGACAACTCTCCCCTGGTAAGTCTCTAAGCGAGTCAGGACCTGGAGCAACAGCCGAACTGGGGGAAAGAGGTACAGGAACCCCCACCTCGACCAGTCGAGCCGAAAGGCATCGACCCCGACGGCCTCGCAATCGGGGAAGGGCGCCGCATAAACGGGAAGACGCCGCGACCACGCCGACGCGAAGAGGTCCACCTCGGGGCGCCCGAACGTCTGGCAAAGCCAACGGAAGGACTCGTCGTCGACCGTCCACTCCGTGGAGAGGGGAACGAAGCGAGACAGGGCGTCGGCCAAGACGTTGGACACGCCCCGTACGTGAACCGCCAGGAGAGCCAAACCCCGAGAACTCAGCAGACGAGTCACCCGAAGCGACCAACCCCAAAGAGACAAGGACCGCATCGAACCCCCGCGGTTCAGGCAATGAACCACCGGAGAGCAGTCCGAATGGAGCCGAATCGTCGATCCGCGGGCCACCCGAATCCTCCCCAGAGCAAACCACACTGCCGCGAACTCCCGCACCGTACTGTGAGCTCGACGGAAGGACGGATCCCAACGCCCCTGGCCGGCCTGGTGAGCACTGGTCACAAAACCCCAGCCGAGAGACGACGCATCCGTGTACACATCGAGCGAGGGCTCGGGTAGGCGCCAAGGCACTGAACCCCGAAAAACCCGAAGAGGAAGCCGGTGACGCAGCAACCGACGCAAGTCCCCCGGGGGTCGAACTCTGCGATCGCGAGAGAGGCGGAAGGGGGAACCCCGAAGGAACCAGAACAGCCGTCGAAGCCAAACCCGACCCGGCGGGTAGACCACCATCGCGAAGTTCAGGCTCCCGCACAGCCCCTCGAGCAACCGCCGGGTGACCCGAGGGCCCTCCAGAAACAGACGAAGGCGGGACCGCAGCCGCAGGAGAGACTCCGGAGGGAGAGACAAGGAGGCGGTCCGAGAGTCCCACACGAGACCCAGCCAAGTCCGAACCTGAGAGGGAACCAGATGGGACTTCCTCCAGTTCACCAAGAACCCGAACCCGGCGAGCTGGGAAAGAACCAAATCCCTGGCTAGCAAGCAAGCTGACTGGCTGGGAGCCCAAACCAGCCAGTCGTCGAGGTAGGCCAACACCCGAACACCTAGGAGACGCAAACGAGCCACCACAACCCGTGTAAGGCGTGTGAACACGCGAGGTGCCAGGTTCAACCCGAACGGGAGACAACGAAAGCGGTAACTCAGACGCCCCACTACAAAACCGAGCCAGTCCCTGAACCGCGGATGAATCGGGACATGCCAATAAGCGTCCCGGAGGTCCAGGGACACCATCCAAGCACCCGGCTCCAAGAGGAGCCGAACCTGAGACAGCGTAGTCATCCGAAAGGAGGGGCAATGAACCCAGGGGTTCAGACGGGACAAGTCCAGAATGAACCGCAGGTCCGCGCAGTCCCGTTTCGGAAC